CAGAATCAACAAAACCACAACCAAAACTATGTATTTATTGCATTCATTTAATCACAATCCTTATCCAAAGTCCACAAGCAGCCAAGCCAAGCTACAGAGCTCACTCACAAGCAGTATCATTAAGAAGAAAATGGCAAAAATAATTCCAAATGTATCAACTAGCAAGTACTTTGAATTAATAATGTTGATTTTTTTACACAGTTATATATGCACGAGTGCTCTTGGTATTGGTCAGTGTGACAATGCTGTGCACAACATTAGTTTTGAAAGGACTGCATGTTTATAGTCCCAAGGAAATGGAGTTCAGCATACACTTATTTTGTACATAACATTTTTCTTTGAAATTTCCTGACAGTAGATGCTAGCAGGAAGTGAAATGATAGGTGGCTTCCAAGACAGTGAACTAAAAGCAAAAGAGCCTAAGTCACACCTATCTAATCCCTTAAGGAGAGAGCAGGATGTTAAAAAAAAAGAAAACAGAATAAGCTTTTAAACATTATGAATGAGACAAACATTGCCTCATCCAGGTCCTGCCTCAACTGAGAGGAAAAGGCCCTTTTTTAAGCAACTGAGATAAGATACAGGTTAGCAACACACATCTGTTGGCTAACCCTGGCATCTCCAGGGTAAAACTGGAATTCTGTTCCTCATCAGACAAAATCCTGGTTCTTGCCAAGGCTTTTAATATGTATGGTAGGTCTTAGAACATGGTAGGAATGAAGAAAAGTTTTGCTCTAAAATAACTGTAATACATGAAAACCAGACATTTAACCCAACCCCAGTGGTGGCACCATCCTGCTCACAGAGCACAGCCCTTCACACTCCCCTGGCAAGGACAGCATTCAGAGCAAAAATTCTGAGGAAACAGCTTTATGTATTTGAAAACCGATTTTAAACAGCTCAGGATTGTATCTTAGTGTAAATACCTACTTCCAAAAACTTAAAGTGTAGCCTACTCAGTCAGGCAGATCAAAAGATAAAGCAACATCACCCATGAATAAAATCCTCAAAAGCCGCATTAGGAGCCCCATTCCCCTCGTGTCAGGTAATAAAGTAGCTCCTGAGAAAGCCCCTGAACCCAGGCAAGGCTTCACCAGTGCAATACATTTTTAGTAGTCAGGTTGTCCTGCCAATGACACCTAAGCTCTTACAGAAGGGAGAAAGAGGAGCCAGTTGTAACGTCACTGACAGATCTGCAAGTATGGACAGTGCATACCTTAATGACTTCTCTGCAACAAACCCCACAGGAGAGTCCCAGCACCATTCTATCAACATACATGGCTCTGATCCTTGGGAAAGATCTTCATTTGCCATCACAGATTACATGTGAGAGGCTGGAAACTCCCCCGCATCCTCTAGGAAATCTGAAATTATTACCTATTAATAATAATTATGGATTTCTATTGTCCTCTTGATTTCCTGAATTTAGGCCTACACAGTTCTTATTTTCAGTCTGACAAGTATTTCAGTGCCCACTTCATGGATGCTTCAGCTGCTCTCCCAGTCTTTGCCTTTAGTTTAGAAAATGGGCCTGAAGCTCACCAAAGTAGAAGGGATCTGACCTAAACCGAACTATTCCAACGTCACTCGCCTTCGTACTAGGTAATTCCAACCCCACTAGTTCAGGAAAACAGGGCAGCTACAGAGGGCTGTAAAAAAACTTACAAACATATGCAGTCTATACCTGAGCTACCCTGAGGCAGAGGGGTCCAGCTATTGTTTGCCCAGAACATTCCACAAGAAGTGTAAATACATTATAATTAATGATGGACATGGGCTGTGGAGTTCTTCATGGAAGACAAGGTTGCAGTGCTGGACAAGGCAGTCAGCAGATGTTGATTCTGGAGCTGTCCCATCCATAGCAAGTTGAGAGCAAAGACATAACCTGAGCTCCCAGGCTGGGAGGAGCACAGGAGCCAGGACAGGCACCGGGGTCAGCAGGATGGGCAAGACAGAGCCTGTGTGCAGCCAGAAAGGAACTGTTGATGCCTTTGGTTCTGTAGAACCCAAATGAACAAGTTACTCCTGTAGAAAAAGTGACTGCCATCACTTCAAGGGCAAAAATCAACCAAAGCTGTTAAGATGGAAAGAGTTTTGCTAGGTTCTTCCTTGGCCTTAGCCTGGCTACGCATTAGACTCAGGTATTTGGCTCATGCAGCCACTGAATCCTGGAACATCTACTCCAAGTGAATGAACTAGAACTAATGCAGAAAGCACTGCCCCTTGTTTTAGTTTTGGGCATACTAAGAGAAGCACAGTCTCCTTCTTGTGGGCCCATCTCCTATCACAAACTGCACTCCAGAACTGAGACCCCCATGAAAAAGCAAAACCGCAGCCTGCTCAAGAACCACCCATGTTCAATGCTGCACTTGCTCCAGTCAGCACTGAAATCAGATGGGAATGCCATGAGGCACATGTGGAACAGGAGAGCACTTCCATAGGCAGCCCTTCCAAGGTGCTTCCTCCAATCCCTATTGTATTCCCCAAATCCTTTGTTCAAATGCTTTTCCTACACAACTTTAAGCAGTAGTACCCAAGGGGGACAGCAATGCTCTAACAGAGGTACAGTGCTCAAAAGGGCTTCCAAAATCCTGAGATGTTATTTTACAAGAACTTGGTACGTCAGGAAGGGCAAAGCAATCCAGTCTGTACGCTGACAGCAGTCACTCCACTGTGGTCACCAGAGTAACCAGGGATTGTCTTTTTCTGTGTGCCCACCCATAATCCGCTCTAACCAAGAAGTTCCATGAACAAATAACAGCATGAAGCCACAATACAGAGGCTTCTCTAGATTCCAGAAAATCTCGTGTGTAAAACACCGCCACAAAAATTGCAATTCTTATCTAAAGTGTAAATAAAATAAATTCAACAAGTGCATATCTAAGTGGATAAATTGAAGCGGTTATCAGACAAAAAAAATCCGGCTTTGCAACAGTGACTGGTCACTTCTCACTGCCAGACAAATCAAAATCCACCCTGCAGAAAAATCAGTCTCAGAACAGAATGTGAGATTTGTTTCATTTCCGAAGCTTCCTGCACCATTAGATTCTTCCCTAAAGAAGAGACTTCATTGTTACGGCAATTAGTATTCCTCCACCCCGGCAAAGGGAGGAAAAAAAAGCTCTGAAAGGGTAATCGAGCCATTTCGCAGCTTTGCCTCCTTACTCCACCCAGTCTCTTCCCTGCTCAATGGCTGCTCACAGCATCCACAAACATGGGAACAGCAACAGAAACACACAAAAACGAGATGCCCGAGAACAAGCCGGATATTTGCAATGCATCTTACAGTTTTAAAATATTTTCTTTGTTTAGTTCCCCAACAGAATTTTCCTATTTAACAAAATGACTCTAAGGGCAAATAACATTCTGACAGCAGACCCTCCCTCTCCCGAAAACCAGCCAAATGCTGCACAATCATTTACAAAATGATCATCACTGAACGGAGGTTCTTTAACCACCACCTCCTAATGCCATGAACAATACTGTCATAGGAACATATACTTAAAAGAATCACCACAAAAATACATAATTTAGCCAGGTCAATATGCCCAAACATTTAATTATACTAAAACGATGTTTATTAAAGATTTTTAATATAGCTTAGATTAACCTTCCCCCATCCCTAGTAAGCAATTCATTATGAAAGGGCTTGACCTGCACCAACCAAGCCCACTGCTGCAGCACTATTGAAATGGTTCGAGTGATACCATGGCAAAGAAAGGGAAGGTGTCACATTATTATTGGTATTAAAGGTCAAGCTTAATTGCATCCACCTTAAACAAAAACAAAAAAAAAAATTAAAAGAAAAATCTCACGCCCACAGAACTGAACAAACCCCAAACTTTTCAAGGGAGGCACCACTCCCACCCCCCAACTTCCATCAAAAGCCCTGCCTGCCTATAACCTCCTGCCGAAACAAAACCCCGGGAGCAGCAATTAATAGAGGATTTAAGCAATATTCTAAGGTTTTCACGGGAAGCCTGTGCACCTGCAGCCATCCAGGCAGTGATATGACCCCCAGAAGGAGAGCTTAGACCTCCCTCCCCCGTTTTACTGCAGCTGGTTCTGAAGGTCTGAGCCACCTCCTATCGCTGCTGCCCTGCTGAGCACTGCAGGAAAACTGGGGATGCGAGACAAATTCTGAAACAACACCTCCTCCTTCCCCTGGATTATTAATTCTCGTCTTGTTTTCGGTGCCCCGGCCGCGCTGGCGATTCGGGCCATCGCCCGACGCCCGGCCCTGCCCGGGGAGAGGGTGACAGGGGAAACCCCGGCAGGAACCGGGGAGGGATGCTCGGGGTCCCCTCCGCGCACACACCAGGCCCATCGTCCCTGAAGGCTATTTTATCGCTGTTTACCCCGGCCCATCGCCTCCTCCCGGTATTTGCTAAGTCACGGACGGAGCGGCGCGGCCCGCGGGGGGGGGACTCGGGCCCGGCGGCGGCTCCGCGCCCGCCCCGCCGCTCCCACCGGGCCCTGTTTTCCTGCAGAGTCACCGCGGGAGCGGGGCCGGGGTCCGCGGGGAGCGGGGCGGCCGCGCCCCGGCCCGCAGAGCCCCCCCACACCGAGCCGGGGGTTGGNNCCGGTCCCTCCTCACCAACGGGCGCGGCCGCCATTTTGAGAGCGAGGAGAGGGGGGGGAGCGGGGCGAGGGCGGGGAGCGGGAGAGGAGGGGGAGAGCGGAGAGGAAAGCGGCGGCCGCTCGTGCCCCGGGCCGGGACAACCCGCGGGGCGGGGGGGCGGCGGGCCCCGGCCTTACCGAGCCCCGCCAGCGCCGCCGCCTCGCTGTGCTGCGCGGGTCCGGCGCCACCCGCCTGTCCCACTCACCGGCGCGGCGTCCCGGTGCGGGGTCAGGGTCCCGGTGCGGGGTCGCGGTCCCGGTGCGGGGGTTCCGGTGCGCGGTCCCGACGCGGGGGCGGGGACCGCCGCCCGCCGCCATCTTGGGCGGCCGAGGCGCCGGGTGCGTGTCCCGGCGTGCCGCGCGCGCCTCCCGGCGTGCACTGCGCGCCGCCCGCCTGAGGGGCGGCCCGGGAGCACCGGGAATAGCGGGAATAGCGGGTGCTTTCCGGGCACACACCGGCAGCCCCGGGCACAGCCCGCCGGCCACGAAGGCCAGGCACACCGGGCGCATCAGCAGTGGCACCGGGCACCCCAACACCGGGCACGCCGGGTGTCGCCGAGCACCGGGAAGACGAGGCACCGCGGGTACACCACACCGGCCCTGGCCTCCCGCAGGCACCGGGCTCTGTGGTGCTTTCCGAGTGTCCCTCCCCAGGAATCCCTTCCCGGGACAGCTGTGTTTTAGTGAGTGACCTTGTCTCTTAGCTCTGGGTCACCGGCGCTGAGGGAAGCGCTCGGATCCTTTGTGTCCGTCAGCTCCGTGTGACCGGAGCTCGGCGGCTCCCCCGCGCACCTCCCAGTGCCCCTTCACAGGGGCCGTTTCAGTGTAGAAACACTCGCACTTTACCCTGGGAACTGAATGTTCTCAGTATCTACAAACCCCACTTGGTTAAATCTCAAGATGTCCTTTGTTTGGTATCTCAAAATGGTAGTTGCTGGTGGTAAACTGAGGCACAGGCCACTGCTGCTTTAGCCCGTGCGCTCACAGGAGGTGACGCAGCAGAGAGGCGCTGCCTGTCCCAGCTCCTGTGTGGCCAGCACAGCCTCACAGAACTCTCCAGCAGAGTTCTCCATCCGTTTGTAGTTCTCCGCTGTCAGGGGCAGCAGAGCTTGCCCAGGAGCTCCTCACAGCCCAGCACGGAGAGCTCCCAGCTGCAGAGCCCAGGCAGGGACCCTGCTGCTGGCCCGGAACGCCAGAGCCCTGCCGGCCAGCGACAGCGACAGTGACACTGACCACAGCCACCTCCAGCGCTGGCAGCAGTGCAGAGAGGGGGGCCACGCAGCTCTCTGAAATGCTGACCCAAGGGAAGAGGTAATTCCGTGTGGAAAATTATCCAGATAGCAAAAACTGAAAGAAGCTAAAAGGGACAGTGAAAATTTCGTAATCAAAAGCTGTACAGCCCTGTCTGTTACTCCTGTGAGTAGCAGTGGAGATGACTGATGTACAGTTACCTAATGGATCTCTGTGTTCGTACCCAGAGCACCTGAGGGAGCTGCTGTCAGCCTTGCCTGTGCTGGGCCTTGGCCCCTCGCTTGCTCTTGTTTGTTTTAAACAGCAGTTTACAAGACAGGGCTGTGCAAACCCCCTGCACCACACAGGCACTCGTCAGGGTTATTTCATACACAAGAAACAGGGGACTGAAATGTAGGGGAAGACTTTCAAATGGTTGCCCAAATTACCTTGGATTTACTTCCATCTACTTGCAAAGTAGACAAAACTGTTTTGACAACCTCAAAATTCTAATATTTCAAGTATTTTGGGGTGCGTATTCAAGTGATGATTAGCATCTACCTGACAAATTAAATCTGGTTCGCAGGGATTAATGAATTTCCCAGAGATTGTTAGGACACTGGTATTTTATTCTCCTTTTGCAGCTGGCCTTCCTTGCAATATCATTGCTTGATACTAGAGTGGAAAGAAGTCCCAGCTGCCAGCACGGCTGAATGGTGAGGAGTCTCAGAGCCCATTTTTCTTGATCTTTTCCTTGATTGCCACCATGTACCTTGATAATAGCAAACACGGACCCTGCGCCTCAGTGGGGACTGGCAGATCCAAACTGCACAGCTCCTTCTGATCTCAACCCCAGTTTTTCCCTCAGAATATTCCTAAAGGTAGTGTTTGCAGCTTGCACAGCTCTGCTGCAGCGTGAGCCAGGCTTCTTCAGGGGAGTTTTTCCCATCTGGGGTGGCACACACAGCAGCAGCTACTACAGCTGGGATTGTGATTCCAAACGTTCCATCAGCCCGTGCCACACGCTTCCTGCTGAACACGGAAGCTGGGTTCATTGATAATTCATATGTTGCCTCTGAATGAAAGTTGTCATTAATATTCTCCACGTGTCCATATTTGCGTGGCACAGCACCTGCAGTGACTGTACTGCTGCAGCCAGCTCATGTACACGTTGCACGTCCTGACCTACAAAAGATGTGAGCTGTTACAGCACAGAGCTCTGGAAGGGAAAGAGTTGTGTGAAAATGCCTCCACAGATTTGAACTGAAAGATCAGTGCAGTTTTAGGTCGGGACTGAATTCCAGTGACACAAATACTGTCATTACAAGGTGCCTAAGCACATACCAAAGGAAATTGACTTGTAGCCATGTCTTGCAATTCAATTTAATGAGTCAATGGGCATGTCTACCTGTGTCATTAACCCTGTCACTGGGATAAATCACAAGAAATGAGCATTTTTTTTCTTCTTTTTGTTCACTAGTGAATAGTGACTTCTCTGTGGCTCAAGCAAGACTCTAGAACTGCAAGTTTCCACTTTATTGTTCTTATAGATGCAAAAGTTTCAGAAATCCCACTCCCAGTACTTGTGTGGCCTTTCCTCTACATTATAAACATAAGGAAGAGAGCAATCTGTAAGTGTGTCCTGCTCTACGTGACATTCTAAATAGCATTAAAAAGAAGATAAACAAATCCTGTCTCTGAGGTTCCTGTGTGAGGAACCTTGGCCCTGTGCAAAGTCTTCCCTTGCTGCAGTAAAATTTTTCACTGAAGTGAGCCCCTTTTCTAATTTAGTATGAAGGAAATGAAAATTAAACTTTCAGCAAGTGTTCCTGTTTTACTGCTAGAAGTGGCCATGCCTGTTTTCATTCTGTTTTGTGTCTCACCTGGCCTGCTGATCACATAGAGCTTATGAAGAGTTTATGCTGCTTTTGATGATGGTGTGTTTCTGTATCTCGATTCAATAGTCTTTGATAGTCCAATGCTATTCTGATGATACTGCTGTCACATGGTTCCTTCTTTAAACTCACATGTTAGTTCTTTTCCTAGAGCCAAAGGGTGAAAGTCCAGGTACAAGCAGCATTTCAGGCACTTATCAGTTCTGCTTCCACTGGTGTCCCCTGCCAGGCCCTTATCCAAACCTGAGTGCTCAGCCTGGAGGTGCGGCGTTCCCTGGCTCCTGTGCTAGTCCTGGGTTATCTGCTGGTTCCTCTGTGTTTTTGTGAGGCTGTGGTTGGTGTCTGCCTGGCCTCACATTCACCTTCTCTGTCCCCATACAGTGAGTGGGATGTTTAAAATATCCTTTTTCTGGGAGACTGTGAAAGAAAGTGTTGCCTATAATAACCTTGTAAAAGTTTTTAACATAGGAGTTCTAATTGCAGGTATTTATTGTCAAACAAAAAGATGTTTTCTCTTCCCAGAATTTTAAAATTTATGAGAATTATATTATTCAAGGATAAATATGCTTACTTAAAAACTTTTATTCAGTAGTTTTAGTGAATTATTTCTTATATCTTCAACGTGTTTTTCAGGGTTATAGTGAAGGCCAGTAACATACACATTCCAGTTAAAATGATGGTAAAGTAGTGCAGGGATAATAAAGCATCCACCTTTTAATCTAATTGGGGCATGGAGTTTTGCCTGCAAAAGCTGCACATAGTTCTCATACTAATGCTGCAGCTGAACATGCAGGTCAGTCATCACAGGCTCCTGTAGCTAACCAGGATGGTTTGTGCATTAGTATCTGATTCGTGTAGAAAGCTGCTGCAAAGGTTCGTGCAGGTATTTGGGATGGGATGCATCGCTCTGGCTCTCCCAGATGTGCTGCACAGCTGCAGTTCAGCTGCGGTTAGCAGTTTGATGGGCTCTAGCACAAGCCTTGCTGTACCTCAGCATCCCTTGTCCACTCAAGCTTGCTCTTTCAATTCTGCTTTTACGTCACAAATCTGTTCATGATACTGTAAAACATCGGACAAGTGTGGCCTTTGCTCCGTGGGTGCTGCAGCATTCCAGACACAACTTTATGGGACAAGATATTTAGCCAATCCGTGAATATTGGAGAAAGACGTTATTCATTATTTAGACGTGATTCCTTTATCGACGTGGGAAATGGGAAGAGTCCCGCGGGGCTGTGCTGGGGCTGTGCCGAGGGAGCGATTGCCGCGCCGTGGGTGTCGGTGGCACAGCCTCTGTCACCGCGGGGCCGGCGGGGCCGAGCCGCCCGGGAGGTTGGCAACTGCAGGCTGAGGAATGCAGGGAGTCTGCTCAGTACCTACGGGGAAGATGACTTTTAATCTTACATTAAACATCTTCTAAACACAGTATAATCCTGAGCAGAAATACTTCCTCGTTCAGCAAAATGAGCGCTCTTTTCCTAACGTACAACCTGTTTAGCTGACAAGCCTGCACCAGCTTTAATAAACTGACAGTCTATCCCCCCATTAAAAACGGCAACATTTTACAACAAATAGGGCTATTCAGAAATGTAAATGCCATACCGATGGTTTATTTTTTACATTTTAGAGTATTTGTTATTACCAGAAAATGAAAATTGTCTATCAGATTTCTCAGCAACATCATGAATATTACTGGTCTAACCAGAGGACTGAGATGTTGAAATAGATGTGTTCTGAGAGCCCCATCAACTTTAAAGAGCTAGTCCAGGTTTCTTTCCAACAGGACAGAGTATTGCAGCTTCCCTACAAGGAGGAGGTAGGTGGCTCAAATGCTGTGTGATTCACGGCCATAAGAATGCACCACCACCAGCCCCTGCATGGATACTCACACGCCCTGATCAAATTATATGTTTGACACATTCTTAAACTGAACCTTTCTGCAAGCAATTACACACATTAGTGATGCTGTGATTCAGTGTGGTGCTGGCTGATGATGAAACACTGCAGGGCTGCTCCTCGTGGCACATGGCACCAGGAAACAGGAGCCTTAGCTTGCCTTTTGACCACTGGCTTCCCTCTGGAGAACAGCTGTAATGAATATTATCTTAAATGGTTGTGAAAGCACAGCTTCGAGACATCCCCTGTTGCAGTAGGTATTTTCTAGTAAATGTACTGAAAATTGTAAATGGAAGAAAAAGACCTGAGACTTAAAACTTTTGTCAGAGAGCAAAGACAGACACAGTGTGGGACGGAGCTGGCTCTGGCTCTGGGGGCTGCAGCCACTGCCCCTGAAGTGCAGCTTCAGGAGCTCTAAGGGACAGAGGCAGTGAAAGGGTTTGTTCAGTGGTACATGAACAGGAACACTGCTGCAGTCAATCCCTTCTGGGTGCAACTGTAAGTCCCAAGAGGGAGGGGAAGGGAAGGAAGAAGGAATATCTGTCCATTTTTGGAAAACTTACAAATTCTTAACAGTGATACACTGTGATATCCTGTGCTTTGTCCTCTCAGGAACTCCTCTTCTTTGGGGCAAATCATTTCATGTCTCTTGAATACTTGTTAAAACATTTCCAATGCCAGCATTATTCATTCATGTTTATGAAGTCTGTTTATATTCGTGCTTCAGTAAATGTCACCATAAAAGTAATATTATCAAGTATTGGAAAAAAATCTTTTCCCAAACCAGTGGTAAAGCTCTTGGTGACTGTGATGGAATTAATCATCCAACCAGTCTGCAATGTTTATAGAGAACAGTGGATATGTCTCCACACTCTGCTGGCTGAAAAGCTCTCTCAGACTTTTAGTGTACTTTTGTTATTTGTTCTAAGCATCATTTAGTGCCCTCTGTGACCTTATTATATATATATATATA